GACCAAGCTGGAGTCCTGGGAGGAGGTGACAGGGGTCACAGGGGCAACTGTTGTTCCACCTTGAAGAAAAAATTGAAAAGTTAGAAACAAACCCAGTCCGGTAGGGGGCAGCAGATGTAGTATCTGTACCTGTTCTGTGCGTCTCTATTCCATTCTGGTGAACTGGAACGCTGTTCTCCATCTTGAATCTCTTTGACGGTGGTAGCATCTTAGAATTCTGGGAAACATATTAGGATTAAATCAGGGATACCCATCACCGGCCATAGGTTCTACAGTAAAACAGACTGTATCTAGATCCAGACTAAAACTGAACCCTGTCACCAACAGCTTGTTTACCTCCATGTAGCGAACATTCTTACTGGTCAGACTGGGACTGGGAGATGCCCCAGGAACCACCCTCATCTTGTTCACCTCATCAAGGATCCCTAGAGACCTGGCAACCTGAATCACGCAGTCCAGTTCAGACACACCCACAGTAGATCACAACAGATCACAACAGATCGCAGTAGAAACTCTCACCTCGATGTTCCTGACCTCAAGTGGCGTTGCTCCTCCTTGTGGACTGATGATATAATCCTGAGCGGCCTGTTTCACCTGAACTTGCAGAGACTCGTACTCACGGTAAACGTCTGGAAACCGCGTTTGAGAAGGACCACCACGCTCCACCTACAGAGGACACAAGACCATTAAAGTCAGACCTGGACTCAGGATCCGGATATAAACCAGGTTCCTGCAGCACGTTACAGCAGAACAGAGACAAACTCCGACACAACAAAGAACAGGGAACACCCACCTATTTGACGCTTTACTGTGTATCAGTGTATTATTAGCATGTACCTTTGCCAACAGCAGCTCCCACAGACTCAATACTTTGGTCAAACGAGGAAGAACGATGTCCATCAGCTCCTCGTCCTCACACTCCGCCACCAGCTGTAAATAACACACCATTGTCATGGAAACAAATCACACACCTGAATGTATTGATCATTACATTATACATGTAAAATAAGACATTCATTTAAAGTCTGTCTTCACTCTCTTCCTCTTACCTCCTGAAGTCGGTCTCGTCTACCCTCCGCCTGCTGCTCTGACGTTACCATGGTAACACTAAGCTTTGGAGGTCGTCCACGTCGACCACGCCTACTGACAAGGCCTACTGTCACCTGAGAGAATTAACCAATCAGATTAAATGATTATTACTGCAGGTCTGTGGTTCTGGATCTATACAGGTGTGATTCACCAGGTTGACGCGAACTCACTTTAGGAGGTGGTGCCAGTGATCGGCCCCTTCCTCTGCCCCTCCCTCGGCCCCTGGGTCGGCCGGGGCCTCGATGATGGAGGCCCCTGAGTCCCACAGCTGCTGCTGGTCCTCCCTCCACCTGAACACAGACAGAAAGTACAGCAGCACTTAACTAACTCGTACGATTGACCTGTATAACTAACCATGAAATAACACCAGACACACACACACCTGTGACATACACAACATTAAGAATGAAACAGATGATGTGACCCGTGGTTATTGTTTATAAAGATTATCCAAATTATATCAGATTATATAACATATATAACTACATCAGATTTAGGGCTGTGAAGGTAAATGGTGGGTAACCGGGGAAGACTCTCAGGAAGCATTGCACAGCTCCAAGTCCACTGACTTCATTTTGGGTCTTTTCATACAGGTTTTCACTCACTTACTTTTTACTTTCTAATCACTGTCAGTCATTTACTGCTCCTCTGTGTCTCTATCATTCACACTGAGCATCATCAAACTGAACAACAGCATCTCCTCCATTTACTAAGTTTACAAATTCTGTTGTTTTTATACAGACTGAGTTATACATGTGTCCAATCACACTGTGTATGTGTGTGTGGAAGTTAATTACTTATATAACTATTACTACTACTATATAACTACTATTAATATTACTCTGTTTGTTGCCATGGCAGCAGGTGTGTCCTCCGTCTTCTCCTCTGTGACAGTTGTCTCTTGTGAATGGCTGACCTCTCTGACTGGACATGGTGTGTTGCTAGGCTGGTTGCCAGGGGGTTCAGGGTCTCCATGGGTCGGGTTTAGTTTATAGTGCCGGTTCAGGCCTCCAGGACCGATGTAGGCCTTATCGCAGGTCTGGCAGTGATGGGACCGGGACTTGTGGCTGTAGGTGAGGGAGTTGGAGGCACCAGGGGTGGGGCCATCCTTCCTTCCGCCCTCCCCCTCCTCCTCCTCCTCCATGCTCATTTCAGAGTAGTCGTCAGAGTCGGACTGGTGGCTGTCAGCAAGGTCCTCTGTCTTTATGAACTTGTAATCTTTGGCTTTGTACTTTGGTGGTCTGGAGACCCGACCAGATCTAGTCTGGACCTTCGCCACCTTCTTCTCCCTCTTCTTTACCCTCTTCTTCTGTTTGTCTTTTTCTCTGTCCTTCACTGCCGGGATCATAGGGGGCAGTGGAGGTGAGGTCACAGTGGCAGATAGGGCCGGTGTGATGGTCGTCAGGACAGCAGGTGGTTTGACGAGATTCTTCCTGGCGGCTGTTGTCGTTCCGTTAGTGGGTTTGATTTGTGGGATGCTTACAGTACTAGAATTTGGTGGGGTCTTATCAATGGAGGTGGCCACGGTCCTAAAGGAAGTGGGGGGGGCTGCTGATTTCTGACTCGAACCAGAGACAGTGGCTGTTGATGTCGTCTGGGCCGTCAACTTATGGACCAATGGGAGAAGAGATCCAACAACGGGGGCAGGGCTTTGTAGCAGCAGCTGGATGGGCGGGTCCCCTGGACTCTGCTGCAGGAAGAACTGCTGACCCTCCTGACCAACCACAGGCTGGATGTGGATGATCTGAGCACTGCTCACGCTGCCATTGGCTGACAGCTTCACCTGCGGATGATTGACAGATACAGTTTTCTGCTGCAGGGTGGAGCTGTACTTCACTTCCTGTTTGGGAGGAACCTTGATCTGAATAGTGACGGGCTCCGACTGAAAGGACAGAAAACCAGAAGCTGCTTAGTCTCAGAAAGATTCTCACGTCGACACTGTGGAACAACTGAGATATATCATTGATCACAGATATTCACTGAATGATCAGTTATAATCAATAGAAAAGTCAATTCCATGTCAAGAGTATTTGAGTTGAATAAAAACAGTTTGATTTAACCTCAAGGTTTTAACTCTGACTGAATATTAACCAGCAAACATCTGGAAACACCTGGAGACACCTGAACTGTTTTCACACATGACCTGCTGCTGTGTTTCACACCTGAACCACACAGCAGCAGGTTTTCTGCACAGACTCTAACCCTAACCCTTTACAAGAGCATCAAATCCTCCTCGTTCTTCAGGTGAGAGGTGGAGGAGCCGGGTGCAGCAGACAGAGACAGGCAGTGACGTATGAACTCTGCTGCAGAGATCATGTGATCATGTTTACATCACCTGACACTGTCCTCAGCAGAACATCTGGATGTGAAACAGTGTGGTCATGACTCACCTAAGTCAGTAGACCAGTGTATGTATCAATATTTTACATTATTGAGAAACTGAAGATTAATTGACAGTGACAATTTTTGTTATTAGGATTAATCCTGCTAATAATCGCTGATGAAACCTCTTGGTGGTGGAGGTGATATTTTGTTTAATAACCTGCACAAAATCGTCATCGAGCAGATAGCAGGTCTGTGCACCTGTCTGTCATCCCCTGATCGCTCACATTTATCCTCAGACCCCTTTGGGATCCAGATCCTTGTTTGAGAACCTTTGAGTGAACATTGATGGACTTGTGCTGTGACAGACAGGTGAGTAGACCTGAACCCGTGGATCTGTCTGAGCCAGATGTGGCTCCATGTGTGACCCACCTTCTTCTGGACCACCTGGACTGAGCCACTTGTGTGCATGGCCACCTGCTGGGCGACGCTCTTCAGCTGCTGGGAGGCATTGTTCTGGGTTGTGGTCTGGACGTTCACCTGAGGAACCTGCAGGGGAACCTGGACCTGCTGCTTGGACTTGGTGACCTGGTTGATGACCTGCTGCAGCTGACTCGGATCCAGGGTCGCATTGTGGACCGGGGTGGTTCTGAGCAGCTGGCTCTGCTGGAGCAGCTGTGCAGCCTCGGTGTCCGGGACCTGAACGAGCTGCTGCTTGGCGAGTTGCTCCAGCAGAAACTGCTGCTCCTCGGCCGTCAGCCCGGAGCCCTCCACCAGGCTGCCGTCCGGCTGCACGTAGATGATCGTGGTGTTGACCAGGTCCGGACCCTGGCCCGTAAGTTCTGTGCCCACCAGGATGCTCTGTTCCTCCGGGCATTTCTGTAAGAAGTCCCCCTGCTGAGCTCCGGACCCTGACGGTAAACTCTGCCCGGACGGACCGCTCCCAACACCGGATACGGTCTGTGAACTGCCCGCGGAAAGACCGTTGAGTTCACCGGACTGACTGACCTGAGTGACGGGGGTATGAGCCGCGTTCCCCGGCGGTTCTGCGGCTCTCATTGTTCTGATCGGTCTGCTCTCATCCTCCTTGTCCGCCATTTTGGCTGCGAGGCTAACAGCTAGCTTAGCTCAGACTGGGGGCCAGTCGGTAGCTCCAATCATCCGAATGTCAAACGCGGTGGAATGAAGTCGGTGAGTTCGGGTGGAGAAAACGCTCCGCGGGGATGATGGGCGTCTTTACCGGCAGCGGCGACACCGGGAGCAGGTCGCGGTTAGCGGGGACTTTTGAACTAGCCTAGCTTAGCCCACAGCCGGAGCAGACACTCTGAATTTACGGAGCGGACTCAGGGACTGGATTCACCATTTTAACATGAAACCGGTGAATCGTTGAATAAATGTGTATTTTACATGTTTCGTTGTAACTATATCCAAACGTTTTTCTACTCGTATGAAACATAATGAAAAAACAAAAGCGTGTGTTTGTTTCAATGAATCATTACATGTTGTTGTCACATTAAAAACAAGAGAAACACAGTGAAATGGAAGGAGAGTCCCGCCTCCAGGTTTTCTAAGCAGCAGTCGCTGAGTTCCGCTTCCGGTCATTGATTTGTTATTGATGAATCAGAAAATAAAAAATCATGAAAACATCAAATCAGTCAGAGGTGAAGGTGTAATCCTCCGTGTCGCCGATGAGCGGCGCAGTTTGTTGACGGTGTCAGTCCGCCTCATGTCACCTGTTTAACATCCAGCTGTGGAACAAACACCTGCAACAACATCTGGAATCAGTCTCAGTAAGACGCTTCTTCCTGATGCTAACGCTGCGTTAGCATTAGCTGCTCTCACTTGATGCTAGCTAGCCTGGGCTCTGTTAGTGAAGCTAGCTCGGTAAACAGCATGATGATGTTTGTTTGTTTGTTTGTGTGTTTGTGAGCTCAGCTGTTTACAACAGTCTCATGTTAACGTGAGTCCGGCATCTTCGTCAGACATCGTCACACCAGACTCCATTAGTAAGATGCTAATTTATAATTATCTTCAGTTTGTCTGACACATTGTGTTTTACATCTTTGACTGAAGAGATGTCACGGTCTTTTGAATAATTCTGTATAATTCGGCGCATGTGTGATCAACCAAACAACGTTTAATTGGTGTTAAGTTTCAGTCGTCACCGCCCTCTGCCTGTATCGGGAGAATAACCCAGTAATATTTCTTAACACCTGAACTTGGGCTGGTGTGAATTGTTGAATTGTGTTAATGAAGTGAATCCACACGACTTTATCATGTGTCGTGTGTCGATGGAACAGTGAACTGTTTCTGTCGTTTGGTGCAGAGCTCCTTTATCTCACTGTCACTTCCTCTCTGTGTGAAACATAAAGAATGTGCTTTCAATGTGGTTTCAGCTGTTTACACTCCGTCATTGCAGATCTGGGTGAATCTCTATGATGTTCTGTTTAAATTTGCTTTTGTAAGTGAACATTAAAATGTTAGTTTTTTCTAAGAGGGTTTGGTGCAGAGCTCTGTCATGGCTGCAGATGGTGAGGTTCTCCTGATGCTGGTTTTCAGTTATTTGATGTGCTTTTAAATTTGAGTTTTGAACTGACTTTCAGGACCAGTGTGAGTCCATTTGAGCAGAAACATGGCGTCTCAGCCGACCCAGCAGTCCGTCCTGAGAGAGTTCTGCCCGCTCTACCACCTGCTGAACGCCATCCCAGCCAAGGTAATGAACCAGTCCAAACCAGGCTAAAGCCCAGACCAGCTGTTAACAACATTTCAGAACAGAACCTGTACATGAAGGCCCACAGACAGACAGAGAGAGACAGACAGACAGACAGGGAGAGAGAGAGGGACAGAGAGAGCATCAGACAGACAGAGAGAGGGACAGAGAGAGAGAGAGAGACCAACAGACAGTAAGAGAGAGAGAGACAAACAGACAGACAGAGGGAGAGAGAGAGGGACAGAGATAGAGAGAAAAAGACAGACAGGGAGAGGGACAGAGATAGAGAGAAAAAGACAGACAGAGAGAGAGAGAGACAGACAGACAGAGGGAGAGAGACAGATAGACAGACAGACAGAGGGAGAGAGAGAGAGACAGACAGATAGACAGACAGACAGAGGGAGAGAGAGAGACAGACTGATGTGGTGATGATGATGATGACAGTGATGGTAATGTTAATGATGATAGAGATGATGATGATGATGACGGTGATGATGATGACGACAATGACAGTGATGGTTATGGTGATGAAGGTTTCTATCGCTCCTCAGGTGCAGCGGGGGTTCAGGTCTGTGCTTGTCTACCTGACGGCTGTGGACAGCAGCAGTGACTTCCTGGCGGTGGGCAGCAGTATTGGCATGTTGTATCTGTACTGTCGCCGCCTCGCACACATGAACAAGTACAGTCTGGAGGTCAGATCTTTTCTTATCTACTCTTTTCTCATTCGTGCTTATTGTAGCAGCTCTAGTGTGTGTTTAACATGTGTTTAACATGTGTCCAACATGTGTTTATTTGTGTGTGCTGCAGGGAAAGTGTGATGCGATCACAGCCGTAAAGCTGCTCAGCTGTTTTGATGATCTAGTTGCTGTAGGAACAGCTTCTGGTCGGGTGTCGGTCTTCCAGCTGGTGTCTCCACTTCCTGGTCGCAACAAACAGGTGAGAAGATCCACAGGTGTGTTTCAGGCCCGGCTTCTTGTCCACACACATATATGTGAACTGTTGCCTCAGTTGTTCTCAGCTGACAGGAGTGGCACCCGGTGTGGTCTTCTGCTGCTGTAGCCCATCTGCTCCAAGGCTCCACGTGTTGTGCGTTCAGAGATGGTATTCTGCAGACCTTGGTTGTAACGAGTGGTTATTTGAGTTACTGTTTCCTTTCTATCATCTCCAACCACTCTGCCCATCCTCCTCTGACCTCTGACCTCAACAAGACATCTTCATCCACACAACTGCAGCTCACTGGATATTTACTCTTCTTCGGACTATTCTCTGTGAACCCTAGAGATGGTTGTGAATGAAAATCACAGTAGATCGGCAGTTTTTGAAATACTCAGACCAGCTCGTCTGGCACCAACAACCATGCCACGTTCAAAGTCTCTTAACTCCACTTTCTTCCCCATTCTGATGCTCGGTTTGAACTTCAGCAAGTCGTCTTCACCATGTCTAGTAGCCTAAATGCACTGAGTTGCTGCCTTGTGATTGGCCAATTAGCTCTTTGTGTTAACAAACAATTGAAAAGGTGTACCTAATAAAGTGGCTGGTGAGTGTATATCACTCAGCCCACAGCTTCTTCTCTGGTTTTCGACAGATCATTGGTTTCGACTTTATCGCCCCCTATGGGCCTGACATGCCTGTTTGAGTATTTGTTTTGCTCTGGAGGGAAAATATCAGTTTAAAAAAAAAAATCCACAATAGCATAGACAGGTGTAACCTGTCTTTCTCTCTTTGTGTGCAGGTGTAACCTGTCTCTCTCTCTGCCTGTCTGTGTGCAGTTGAGGCGTTTCGATGTGGTTGGGCTTCACAAAGGTTCAGTGACATCACTGGCCTGGAGCACCAATGGGATGAAACTGTTCTCTGGAGATGATAAAGGACGAGTCGTCTTTTCAGCTCTGGACCTGGACCAGGTGAAGCCACCTCAACACACTAGTGTCCACACTACACTGTACATGGTCACCTGGGAGAAATTATGTAATCATGACATCACTATGAGGTCATATAGTCTAGTAATGCACTAACCTTTGTGACCAATTCGATTAGAGACACAGCATACAGTTTATTTAGATTAACCAATTATTGATGTCATCATATGGTACAAATGACACAATGACATCATCATAAAATTACATTATTATAAATTAGAAATACCAATACTGGTCTGGATATATACATTATACATGTTCTAACGTGTTGTATATTTCTAACGTGTGTGTGTGTGTGTGTGTGTGTGTGTGTGTGTGTGTGTGTGTGTGTGTGTGTGTGTGTGTGT